CTCCCATATCCATCTGCATGTGCCAGAGGTACGTGCGGCTCTGCCAGGTGCCCGCTTGGCACAAGGGTGGACAAAAACAGCTTGGAGGGAGGATCTGGCTGGCCGGGGGTGGCTCCTGGTCCCTGGGCTGGCAGCCCTCAGCTTTGAAGCTGTTTAGCATAGAGCAGGGGTGTCACACCGAAGGCCCAGTGGCCTGAACTGGCCTGCTCTTATCCTGCCCGCGAGCAACTAGTGCACGGGAGGGAACAGGAGGCTGCTGGAGGGGGGAGTGGGTAAAGCCACTCTGATTGTGGCTTCAGCACGGCAGAACAACCTCATCCGCAGTAGTCAAGCAGAACCCCTTGCGTTAATAGTGGCAGCCTCACTGGTAAGTTGGGAGCCGCCGCCGCCTTCATGCCAGCTCAGGGTTCCAAGACAAGGCCACACACCTCTCCACTCGGCCTGCAGCTCTGGGGATGCTGTCCTGGAGGGCCGTGGGGATCAGTGTTTGCATGTTTGTGTAGGGGTGTGTGCCGATGATTGTCTGCCGGGGCCTGCCGGTGGCCAACGCTGCTGCCATATTTGCACCCCCCATGCCGTGGCTGTGCTTTAGCCTATGGGGGGTGGGCGTTATTCGGCAGTTTCTTCCAGGGCCCCAGTCCTGCCACCGAGGACATGATTTGGCGGCCGGGCCTCCCTCCCCCATGGACCACCTAGTGACCTTCAGCTGGAAGTGGCTGCTGCCTCGTGTGTGTGTGTGTGGGGGGTGCTGACCATCTCCGGTTATACTGGTTGCTAGGTGGCCCGGGTCCTCCACCACATGTGCGGCCTGGTGCATGCAGTGGCTGCCCCCCCCCCCGATCTGGCGGCCTTGGGTCTGGGGCTGCTGCCGCCGCCACATGGAGGTGGCACGGCTTGCTGACAAGCTCTGGCCTGAACGCCTGGCATCCTCAGCTGCAGTTGGTCGCTACTGCACGGGCATCTCTGGCTTCTCAGGCTTTTCTTGGCCTGGGTCCCACTCTGGCCTCGGACCTGGGCCACTGCCCCCCCCCCCGCTTCTGAAGATGGGGGTGGGGGTCAGTTCAACTTGTCTTTCCAGTTCCCTTCCATGGTGGCTTGGGAGCAGGGGGGGTTACAACACTCAGCTACTTTATGTGTCACTCGAGGGGAGTGGGCGGAGCCACTCTGATTGTGGCTTCAGCATGGCGGAACAACCTCATCTGCAGCAGCCCAGCAGCATGGGAGCGTTTGCCCAGTGCTGCAGTGCTGGCTCTCCAGTCCACCCGTGTGGGTTTTCCTCTGCACCCCCTCAGGTGTTGCAGTAAGGACACACCAACTGGGGCTTACCAGCGGCTGTCCTTTATAAAGTTTGTATCTCCGGTACCTGGCATTATGCTTTATGGCACGCCCGGCCCAACAAAGTCATGCTGTTGTCAGATCCAGCCCTCATAACAAATGAATTTGACACCTCTTGAGAGAGCGTATAGTGCTTGGTGGCAGAGCCCTGACCGACCTTGGAGGGCCAACTAAAGCATGGAGTTTTCCCGGGGGGGGGGGGGGAGCTCGTGGCTCTAGTGATAAAGCACCTGCTTTGCAATGTCTGAACTCCTTTGGCCTCACCGTTGGGCTCATGCATGTAGCTCTTCACCTGTTGGTCTCTTCCCGGTAGGGCGCCACCCCCAAAGATGGACCTAGTGCCGGCTGCACGATAATCACTGCCCTGCTGTCTTTGGCAATGCATCGGCCTGCCAGGCAAAATGTGGCCATGACTGGGGAGGTGTCGCTGACAGGGAAGATCCTCCCTGTTGGGGGAATCAAGGAGAAGACCATTGCGGTAAGGCAAACCAGCATCCCTTCTCTTTGGGGGGGGGGGGGGGGAAAGGCACTGAATGGCTGTTGGCAGCCCACGGCCCCATGATAGTATCCGAGGGTAGGTGACGGGGCCTTTGTGGCGATTCCAGCAAAGAATCTTTTGGTCTGATCCTGCAATGCACTTCAACCCCAGAGCAGAGCTCTAGATAACTGGGCAGAGTTGTTCAGAGATCTTGAATCTGCATTCTGGCTTGGAAAAGAGCACATCCCTGAGCCACAGGATCCCAATAAAGGTGACATGAGATGGAAGTCAGCACGTCTTTCTGCTAAGAAAAGAGGGGAATCTTGCCACCCACTTGCAAACACACACACACACACCCCGATCTTCAGGCCAAGAAATGAGTTCAGGGGGCTTTGACAAGTGAGCCAAGCTGCACAATTTCTGACCTCCTCAACCAGAGCTGAGTGAAGATGTTCAGTTTGAAAGGACACGAGAATTAGCCTAGGAGATTCAGAAAGGGCTGTGGCTGCCCTTAAAGCAGTGGCCAGAAACCATCACTTAACTTGAAGGGCTTGGGGTTCCCTTTCTCTCTGGAGGTGACCCAGAGTCTGCCTTTCTTTTCCAGGCCAAGAGAGCTGGCGTCTCCTGCATGATCCTCCCCTCTGAAAACAAGAAGGATTACTCTGACCTTGCTGATTTCATCACTGAAGGACTGGAAGTACATTTTGTGGAGCACTATAATGAAATCTTTGACATTGTCTTCCCTGAGCTGGCTTCTGCAGGAGGGTGAACTCTGTAGCTTGGAGCCGCTCTCGGACAGGACCCAGCCTGACCTGCCTTCTGGATCAGGCGCCGGGAGGCTTGGGCTGGACAGAGAGGATGCTGGGAGACTGCTGCTGTGTAGCAACTGCCCCCTCACTGTGGCTTGGTTTGCTAGTGTCCCCAAGCAGCATTTTCCATACCAAATTATTTCAATTATGAAATGTTAATTAAAACAGGACTGTGACATCCTAGGCAGTCGGTTTGGGATTTTTCCGTCTCTCCTGCTGTTTTGAAATGAGTTGTATCACAGCTTCCACTGCCTCGTGCCCAGTTCACTCAGCAGCACTGAGCACTCTCGAAAATTCATCACGAAGTTGCATAGGACCTTCCCCGCAGCCGTGTTTGTTGCACTAGTGTGGCTCTGGCCAGGCAGTGAAGGGTCTGTTTGCACAGGATTGCGGACAGGACAGACTGTTTAAATCCACAGGGAACGTAAAGCCAGTTTAACCGGGGGGAGGGGGTCCACAAATGTGTGTGTGAACTGGTTGAACTGAACTCCTGGGCACTTCTAAGAGGAGTAAGTGGCTGGCCCTGGCAACAGTGTGTCCCATCCAGCGGCGTGTGGATGCCCCCAAAGGGATGCGCGTGTCCACTGCAGCTGCTTTTTCCAGGCACTGTTGATTCATGCACTTAAAATGGGACGGTGGTGGAATTATTTCCTCCCAGCAGGTTGGATCCTGTCTCCTAGAGCCTTCCTCTGCTCCAAAGGAGAAGATCCTCACGTGGGAAGAAAGTGCCACTCCTGGTGCAATTGAACCACCCCACTTTATTTGACCTTAACAAAATATGAAAACCCCCTCCCCTGATTTTCCTTTAAGCTCCTGGCGCATCTGCTGGCAGGAGTGTGAGTGGGCAGGCACTGGGGAGGGGAAGGCCAAGTCAAGCCACTGATACACCTGTCCTCCCATCAGTCAGTCTAATACCCTTTCTTAAAGTGGTCTATGTCTGTGGCTCTCACTAGATCCTCTGGTAGTGAATGCTAGACTTCAGTCACTTGTGTTGTATTAAGTATTTCCTGTTGTCTGTCCTGAATCTACTGCCCGTCATCTTCATTGGATGCCCTAGAGTTCTGGTACTGGGGGGGTGGGGGACGGGGACAGAAAGTTCTGACCACTCTTCTCCCATGCATAACTTCATAAAGCTTTACCTTGTCACTCACCCACCCTTTCTTCCATCTCTTTTCTAAACTGAAGGCCCTAGACCCCTTAGCCATTCGTCACAGAGGTGCCCCAGCCCCATAATCATCTTGGTTGCCCTCTTCCACCTCTGTAACATCCCCTTTGAGATACAGTGGCTAGAACTGCACACAGTATTCTGAATGAGGCTGCACGTCAGAGCAACACTGAGGCATTACAATAGCAGCCATTTTAGTTTTAATCCCTTTCTGAATAATCCTCAGCATAGAGTTTGCCATTTTCACTGCTGTGGCACATTGGACTGACCCAAGGTCTCACTCTATCGAGTACATTCAGACCCTATTAGTCTATACTTGAAGTTGGGATTTCTTTCTTCCAGTGTGCATCACCTTACACTTAACGACATTGAACTTTGTCTTGTACATTGTTGCCCAGTTTGTGGCTACCCTCCTGGAGCTCTTTACAGTCAGCCTTGGTTTTCATCATCCTGAATAATTTTGTGTCATCTGCAAACTTGGCCAGCACGCTACTCAGCCCTAGTTCCAGATCACTTATGAATAAATTAGATGGTACTGGCCCCAGTACCAATCCTTCTAGGACTCCACTTCCCTCCAGTATGAGAATTGTCATTTATTCCTACTCTTACTTCCCATCATTTAACCCATTTTTAATCCATAAAAGAACCCGTCCTCTTACCCATAACTGCTAAGCTTACTCTGTGGTGAGGCATCTGGTTGGTGAGGCAGGACTTCCCTTTGCAGAAGCCATGCTGATTTTCCCTCAGCAGGCTTTCTTCCTCTACATGCCTAATAATACTGTCTTTTATTATCGTTTCTACTAATTTGCCTGGGACAGATATTAGGCTAACTGGCCTGTGATGGCTTGGTTCCTCCCTTTTTAAAAATTGCTATAACGCTTGCTACTCTCCGGTGTTCTGGTACAGTGGCTGATTTTAGTGGCAAGTTACATGTATGGATGAGTAGATCAACAATCTCAACTTTCACTGTGCTAAAAACTTAAATTGGTTTTTAATTTTCCCAAAAGGTCTAGACATTTCTTCTCACTTCAATCCAGCCCTCGTAACAATTGAGTTTGACACCTCTGCTTTAGGCTAACAGCCAAGGAGTGGCCCAAAACCAGAGCTGGTCTCCTCTTTGGCCTCAGCTCACCCCTTGGGGTTGCTGCACCAAATGGGCTTTGTGAAAGCCAGCCATCTCCAGCCCCCCTGGGACACAAGACATTTTCCTTGCTGGGTGTTCAAAACAACTTTTTATTGGGATAAAGCCACTCTCAGTCCTTCTTGGCAGCAGCCTTCCTCATGGCTGCCAAAACATTGCTGAGTTCTTCACGCTTTCTCTTGGCCCGGATGTGAGTCCCCACCTGTGGACAAAAAGGAAACTGCATCAACACCACATGCAACTTGGGAGGCTGGGGTGGAAGGCTGGACTGACTCTGTACAGGAGGACAGGATCCATGTTTAGCTGGGCTTCAGGGAAGCCAGTCTCAAGACAGGCCTTGGTCAAGGGTCACAGCCAGCCCTCTGAAAAGGGGAAAGGGCAGGGCAGAGAGGGGTCTCCCCCCAAAAAAAACACTGGACCATTTGGAGCCGAGGGGGGGAGGTGTGAGGGATCCTCACCACTGTTCCCTCGAAGCTGAGTTAGTGTGAGCTAGCTCACAGTTTTTTAGCCTCTGGCTCACACCTTTTTGTCTTAGCTCAGGAAGGACGGCTCCAGAGCAAACTAATGTATGCAGTAGCCAAATCACTGGCTCACAACTTTAATGCCAATAGCTCACAAAAGTAGAATTTTTGCTCACGAGACTCCACAACTTATAGGAAACATTGATCCTCACTAGTCTCGGCTCCTCCCCCTTCCCTCCACTCACCCGTTTCTTTATGAATTTCAGAGCTCGCTTATCTTTGGAGACTTTCAACAATTCCATTGCACGTCTCTCGTAGGGTGCGAAGCCACACACTTCCCGGATCATGTCCCGAACAAATTTGGTGTGTTTGGTCAAGCGCTGAGGGAGAGAACAAAAAAAATTCTTTAAAAAAGCCCAAACAAATGACTGACACTTTTTCATCAATGCTCGCAGTTTTGCTGTTTTGTGTTCGTTAAAAGCTACTGTCCACTTTCTGGGGTTTTCCCCTTTAACTCGGGTGGCCAAGAGAAAGGGGTTGGCATCTGGCAAAAGCTAGGCAGGACCCCAGGAAGCAATCTATTTGGTTCAATTTCTATCCCGCCCTTCCCGCAAGTGGTCTCAGGGCAGGTTATAACATTAATATAAAACAAAATCAAGACTAAGACCAGAGGTCGATTCAGGGGGGATCGTGGGGGATCGCAGTTCCCCCTGGTGAGGTGCGGGGCACATGACGAAGCCCCGCCCCTTGCTTCCGGCCGCCCCACTTCCGGCCCTCATTCAGCCAGGAGAAGGCAGGAGAAGAGGGAGGGTAAGTTGCTTCCTCCCCGCCTCTCCCCACCCCTGCCTGCCTGGGGCCAGGGAGGGCCTTGGCGGGGCTTCCTTGCACTCCCGCCTGCACGTCCACCATGGGGCCCCTGATGTCAGGGGGTGTGGCATATGCTAATGAGTTCCCCTAGCTCTTTTTCTACGAAACTACCCCTGACTAAGACTATAAACAAGAAGCCAAAGAAGGGCTGCTGTGAAGCTCTGGGACTCCCCCACAACACCCACAGTGGTTGTACCGGGCAACATCAGGACAGGCCATTTGGAAATACCGGGAGCTGCAGGACCTGTAATGGTAACTTTTACATAAGTAACCGGCCGGGGTGGGGTATAAGCTGGTTTTGGGGGCTCTGAGCAGCAAAGTAGCCTAGAAATGTACCCGATAATAAGGCTAATGTGTTCTGGGGAGAACTTGGTTAGGAGGAAGGTAAGGTGGAAGGAGGGTAGAAAGGAAGAGAACAGAACGAAAGTGGGAACAGGCGGCCTTGGTCAATGGGGCAACCCCTAGCAAAGTACCTTTCCAGAGTAGGAGACCTGGGGTACGGAGCAGGGTGGCCCCTGTGCAGTTCTCCTGGGGATAGGACCACTAACCCTTTCCCTGGAAGGATATCAGTGGTGTACCACCTTCTCACTGAGTTGTGCGCTGGAAGAAAGGTCTTCTGTCTGTTGTGCCCACACACTTCAGAGTGGGGCCACACGACTGCATGGAAACAGGAGGAGCAGGAGTGTGTGTGGGGGGGCTTCCTTGACCTGCCTGTGAAGGGGGAACCCCTCGAGACCCAGACCAGGCACCCTGAGACCCACAGCTCCCAGGTTCAGACTCACCCCACGGCGTCGGCACTGGCGTGGCTTAACCACATTCTTGGTCACCTTGTGGCCCTTGTTGAGGCCAACGGCCATCGGGTAGCGGATTGCCATGGCTGGGGGAGGAGAGAGAGAGAGATTGAGATTAGGTGACTTGGGGAAAACCAAAATCTCGCTAAAAGACTGGTCAAAGTGTGCCAAGAAAGCCAGCCTCCATTTCCCCGGTCTGGGCGGAGAAGCGGTCGAGACAGGAGCCTTCCCCCAAAGCAAGAGGAAAGCGCAAACCCTGACGGAACAGACTCACAACAATCAATCTCATACACAGGAAAATGCACAATTCTTAGTGATCCCAAAGGCTTCTTAGGCACGTGGTCCTGTCAAAGTTTAACACAGGGCGGTAGGAATTAAGAGCAGTGGACAAAGATCCAAGAGGCCCAGGTTTGCATCCCACACCGCTATGACATGCCTGGGCCAGGGTGCCCCCCCCGGGCACAACCTGCTTCCCTGGTAGTGGCAGTTCGGATACGATGGAGGAGGAAAGAATGCTTTAAGTAGCTTTGGGTCCCCCCCCCCTTAAGAAAAGCAGGGTGTCTCTCTGTGTGTATATATATAGAGAGAAAAAGTTCATCGCTTCTGCTTCCTACTTTCCCAAGGGGTTTCTGTGTTCTAATTAGCACTGAGGAAATGACTGCAGGCTTTTATGTTTTCCAAGGGAGAATGGCCATTTACCTCTCTAGTACTATCCGGGATCCTTATTGTCCCGATTAGAGGTGCAAGTCTTATGGAACGCAACAGGTTTGTTTTTGAGTAACCTGTACCTGCTCTTTCCAACTTAAGCGGCTTCCCAATAACAGATTTGAGGCTTCATTCATTCCCCACCTTTATTTTTCCAACGGGGATCCAAAGCAGTTTACCTCGTCCTCCTCTCCTCCACTTCATCCTCACATGCCACAAGAACTCTGTGTAGGGGCTGAGTATCTGTGACAAGCCCAAGCTCACCCAGCGGGCTTCCATGCAGAGTGGGGTTTGGAACATGAGTCTCCCAGATCCCAATCCAACACACAACCCACACAGGGACAAAAAGTACCGCAGTTAAAAAATATACCCTAATAGAGTCTGAATTGTCTGAGACTAAGAGAGGGAAAGAGATTGGGGGCTGTAGTGAACATGCTGAAAAAGGTCCACCCCGTGGGCAGCAGCGGTAAAAAAGGCAGTAATAATCCATGCTGGGGATTATAAGGAACGGGGCCAAAAATAAGACAGCCAGTATTCTAATGCTCTTGTACAGATTTACAGGGAGGCCTCTTTTTGGAATAGTGTGTGTGTATCTCGGTTGCACTCTTCTTCACTATTTCTGAAATAGCAACCAGAGCTGTATCTCAGAAAGGAAGTTGCAGAGACTGAAAAAGGCACAGAAGAGGACAATTAAGACTTTTAAGGGATGTGGGACTTCTTAATTTAGAAAAAAGGTGGCTGAAGAGAGATAGAATAAGAGGTTTCCAAATTATGCACAGGACAGAATTCTGGGTCTCAAAGGTACCTGACTGGACTCAAACTCTGTTCTGCTGCTTCAGACCAACATGGCTACCCACCTGACTCTATGCACAGGACAGAGAGAGTGGACAGAGGTAACTTTTTCTCCCTCCCCAAACGTGCTAGAGAACTCGGGGGTGCCAAATGAAGTTGATGGGCATAAACATTCAGGATGGACAAAAGGGAATACTTCTCTACTCAATCAAATTCTGGAAACGGGGGAGGGGGTAGCGACAGCCATGATCACAGGGGGCTTCCAACGGGGTTAAGGCAGATTCATGAGGTCCACCAATGGCCACAGGACAAAGTTTGAGTTGGGGCACCTTTAAGACCAACAAAGTGTAACTCTGGGTATAAGATTTTGTGTGCAGGCACTTTGTTCTGTTGCTTCAGGCCAACAGGGCGACCCATAGAATCCTAGAATCACACAGAGTTGGAAGGGGCCATGCAGGGCATCTAGGCCAACGCCATGCTCAGTGCAGGGTCAGCCTAGAGCACCCTGACAAGGGTTTATCCAGCCGCTGCTTCAAGACTGCCAGTGCGGGGGAGGGGGGAGCGCACCACCTCCAGAGGCAGCTGATTCCTCCTGGATCTATCATCAATGGCCAGAACCAGTGTTCCCTCTAAGCTGAGTTAGTGTGAGCTAGCTCACGGTTTTTTAGCCTCCGGCTCACACATTTTTGTCTTAGCTCAGGGAGGAGGGCTCCAGAGCAAACTAATTTCTGCAGGAGACAAATCGCTCGCTGACAACTTTAATGCCAGTCGCTCACAAAGTAGAATTTTTGCTCACGAGACTCCACAGCTTAGAAGGAGCACTGGCCATAACCCGTGATGAGTGAAGGGAGCCCTCCCCATCCAGAGGCAGCAGCCAACGTCTAGTGCTGGGAGATACCACCCGGTGGCAGGCCTCGGCGGCTCCTAGGCCCAGTTTTGTTAGCCCTCCAGGATGCTGGAATAGGCGGACCTCTGGTTGGATCCCTAACGGCCCCCCCCCCCTGTATATCTCTCTCTCCCGCCCGCCCGCCTGCCTTCCCACCAGCGGCCCCCGATGCCGGAGCTGCTCCCTCGCGGCGGATGAAGACGGATCCTTCCCCAACCCCCCGGCCGGGTCCGGAGCGCTCACCTGCCGCAGCCTTTCAACGGAAGCCACGCCGGAAGAAGAAAGGGGAGAGCTGCGCGCGCAGCTTATTCGCGCGATTGGCTGGGAGGGAAGGAACCATCGAGGCGGCATGGACAGAAAGGGCACAGTCAGAACCACAGAGCAAAACCGGAAGACAAGCCTCCTGTGACCCGGAAGTAGGGGCGCCTGAGGTGGCGGCAGTCACCATGGCGCTGACGAGCTCCTTGGGTTCGATGCCGGTTCCCCGGGCGGAGCTGAAGCTGGTGCGGCTGCTGAGCCGGTGCGAAGTGCTGGCGGCTGACAGGCGGAGTGCGGGCGAGTGGCGACTGGAGAAGGTGAGCGGAGCGGCTTGGCTGGCTCGGGAAGAGCCCACTCAGCGCTGCCGGAGTGCCCTTCAGCTGCCTGCTGAAAAGGAGTCGGGGAGAGGGGCGAAGAGCGCGGGGCCTCCGGAGAGGGAGACGCCGCCGCGACTGGAGGAGGCCTTTTGGGAGCCAAGGCTTGGGACCCCCCCCCCTCTCCCTGTTTGGTGTAGTGGTTAAGTGCGCGGACTCTAATCTGGGAGAACCGGGTTTGATTCCCAACTCCTCCACTTGCACCTGCTGATGTGACCTTGGGTCAGTCACAAGCTCTGGCACAGCTGTTCTTGAAAAAAGAGCAGTTTCTGTCAGAGCTCTCTCAGCCCCACCTACCTCACAGGGTGTCTGTTGTGGGGAGGGGAAGGGAAAGGAGTTTGTAAGCCCCTCTGAGACTCCGAGTGAAGGGTGAGGTGTAAAATCCAATCTCTTCTCTACTTTTTTTCAATTTTGTGGCGCCAAGCTTGAGGAGGGGTGATTAACTGTGCAAAAAAGGACCTACGTGCCGCTGACTAACAGGCGGAGTTATTTCTTGCCTCTCGTATAGCTGCTTAAAGGGCACAAGTGCTCTGACGGAGATTTAATACATTTCTGCCAGAGCACTTGTGCTTTTTTAGCAGCTACACGAGTGGCAAGAAATTATTCCACTTCTTAGTCAGAGACCCTTCTCCTGTTGAGCTACCACCGCTGCCGCCCCTGTGTGTCAGATCTCCCCGGGGGACCTCCTGGGGGGGGGGGAGGCATGGGTGGCTGTTCTCTCCGGAGCACTTCCCTGTGTGCAGGGTAAAGCTGCCTCTGAGGCACGCAGGGCAGCAATAGAGCAGCTAAATATACAGGTGCCCCCCTGGAGGGGAACAGGTGACAACTTGAATCTTGCAAAAGAGTAGTTCCCTTGAGATGAATAAAGGGCTGGGGTTTGCCTCGTTTTCAACAGAATGTGACAGCAACTGTAAACTCCAGGCCCATTTCTATGTTGGCCTGCAGAGGGATGCATTCCCTGGCTGACATTTGGGTACAGTAAGACACAGGGAGGGGAAAACAAATTTGACCCAAAAACTGGAATCAAGAACCACAAGGGTAAGAAAGGTCTAATAAGGGCCAATATTAAAAACCTAGTTGAAACTTATAATATACAAAAATACATGTATTTATTAGAAAGACAGTTAAAAACATATAAGGGCCCAATGAAAGTCTCATTAAAAAGTTCAAGTGGCCTAAACACAAGGGCCAATACACATGACCAGACACGTTCCCGCCCTTCTTCAGAGGTCAAACAGTATTGAGGTACATGTAACAATAATACATATTACAATAAGATAACCAATAAGTTAATACTGGACCAAGAAAAGGAAAACTGTAGAAAAAAGGGGAAAAAATAAAATTAAATATGAATAAGCATCTGTGATAATATCTTCTAGATAGAAAAACTGCCCAATAATCTTAGGGAAACCTCTGGAAGAGCATGACATTGTGAATGGATTAATGGAATTCATTTACCAAAAAATATAAACCTTACATGAATATACAGCCTCATGCTGCATAATTAAAAAACTAATCCTTCTTTCATGATGAATAACCTTTTCTACTTAAGATACATTATAGTCCAATGTAGCTTAAGTAGAAAAGTAGCTCTAGATAGATTTCCCCTCAAAAAGTATTTTATTTTAAAAATCCAATTTTTAATTTTTTTAAAAAATCATTGATTTCTATCCCCCCTGCTTTGAAGTCTTTGGGGCTGCAGGCATGGAGCTGGGAGGCGGAGTGCCCAAGGCCAGATCCCTGCTGAGCTCCAGTGGCCCTGCTTGATTTCAGAGGACGGACAAGCTCACAGCTTTGTGCGCTCCTAACGTGCAAATGCACGTAAGGCTTTGGAATGCTAGCTTCTCTTCCTGGGCTTGGACTTCCAGAGCCCAGTCAGGATCATCATGTGAGCCAGGCACAGCTATGATGGTTTAGCCACCAGTGGGTTCTGGGTCCTTTCACACAGCTCAACATGAAAGAGCAAGTCTGGTGTTTTATGTTTTAGTGAATGACTCCAGGGGGACTGAGAAGAACTGTTGGGTGATGTGGCCTTTGCATCTACTGATTCCTCTAGATCTGCTGTTGAAAAGAAAGACCACCAGTGGCTAAATCGGTGCAGGTACACCGAGCTCAAAGCATTGAGATCTGGGGGCGGAGAGAGGCCAGAACCATGCCGCATCCAAGGCTACAGTCTTCTGCATGGTTAGTAAAAAGATAAAGGTAAAGGTTTCCCTTGCTCAAAAGCCAGTTGAATCCAACTCTAGGGGGTGGTGTTCATCTCCATTTCCAAGCCGAAGAGCCAGCGCTGTCTGAAGACATTTCTGTGGTCATGTGACCAGCATGCCTAACACCAAAGCACACGGAACACTGTTATCTTCCCACCGAAGCAGTACCTTATTTATCTACTTGGTTTCTTGCTTTTGAACTGCTAGGTTGGCAGGGGCTGGGACCAGGGACGGGAGCTCATTCCGTCACACGGCACTAGGGTCTCAAACTGCTGAGCTGCTGACCATTGAGCACAGTGAAGGTTACTTCTGAGTAGGCATACTGCAAGCGTAGCAGTGCCTGGAGAAGCTATTGCACTCGTGGAATTTGCTGCCAGAGGGTGGGTGGTGATAACTGCTACCTGAGCTGGCTTTCTAAAAATGAGGCAGACAGATTCAAAGGCCTGCTAAATGCCCTGATGCTGGGGAGAAGGGAGAGAACTCTTGCCCTTTTGCAGTGCTTGTAGGCTTCTGACAGAATGGCGGGTGAGAATGAGCTGTCTATTGGGCTGCTGAGGACTGGAGGCTGTTTGGGGGGGGCAGTCATTCTGCCTTGCAGCTGCAACAAAGAATCCTTCTATGGCCTTGATGTGCACTCCTGCCTTGTCTGTGGGCCTCAAGGCAGCACCAGCTGCCCATGTGAGGAAGGCAGGTGGGTATGAAGCAGACACACCTAAGATGAGGGGCTCTGCTCTGTTGCGGGAGTTGCTGGAGCACTTAAGCAGACACACCTAAGATGAGGGGCTCTGTTGCGGGAGTTGCTGGAGCACTGTTGGCATGGGGGAGAATTCCCAGCCTTGGAACTTGGATCCTGCCCAACAGACCATGGTCCTGAATCATGCTGGGCACACCCAGTGCAAATCCTGCATCTCTTCCTCTTCACGCCCATCAGAGTCTCCTGCTGTGGCGTTTGGGCCGCTGCCTTCCTGTCTCAGCCAGCAACGAGGCTGTTCAACTAAGTCTGTCTGGGATGGTTGCTGCGATCCTGATCCTGCACGTTGTTGGGAAGAAGACCTGTGGAGGACTCTGCTTCCAAGGGAGGACTTCAGAGCTCTCAGGATTTTGTCTGTGGTTAATTAGTGCCTAGAACACAATCTGGTCTTGTTTATCCTCCCTGTGGCTCTGGAAGGATAGGGTTCAGCTGATCACCAAAATAGCTTGTTCTGCAAAAAACAACAACAACAAAACCCTGTACCACAGGCTACCAAACACCTCTCTTGTTTTTCTCTTCAGTATGTGGCTGCCCTGGAAGAGATGCTCCTAGAGCTGAAGAAACACTCCAGGTGAGCTGGCAGGGGCAGGACCGATGATGGCCAGGTAGCCTGTTGAGCTCGGCTCAGCCGGAGCGGCCCGTGAAGCAAGGGAAAGGGGGCCAAAGACTTCCTGGGGGTTGGAGGGGTCAGTGGGGGGGGGGAATCCTGCCAGCCTTTCTTGTGCAACGACTTGATCTAGTATGGTCTCTTTCAGCAAGCCAGCCCCTGAGGTGCTGAACGAATATTCTCGTAAGGTGGATTTCTTGAAAGGAATGCTGGAAACAGAGAAGCTGGTAAGGTGCTTCTGTCTCCTTGGCCAGGGAGAGTCCCAGGCCTTGACTTCTGCTCTGTCCTCACCTGTGCCTCAGGTGAGTCACACGCTCTGCCCTTTCCCTTCCCAGTCATCTTCATCTGAAAAGGCACTGGCCAATCAATTCCTGGCCCCCGGGCGAATCCCCACCACGACCAAGGAACGGGTTCCGGCCACGCAGACAGTGCATTTGCAGACCAAAGCCCGCTACGCTGGTGAAATGAGAAGCGAGCTGCTTGGTACAGTATGTCTGGTTACCATCCCCACCACCCCCTATTCCCCAACAGGGTCCTTTAAGGGGCCATTTGGCCAAGGTGGAGCGTGAGTTGATTCCCAGTGGGTACAGCTTGCTTTGCAGGTGAGCCCAGGTGGCTGGGCCCACAGGGGGTAAGATGGCAGGTGTGGCATTGCTTCCTCACCTGGCCATCACAGGAGGCTGGCACAAGCATGCTGCCTTGCCACTTCCAAGAAAGGGCGCTGTGAACACTCTCACCCATCTTCCTCTCCATTTTCTGCCTTCCCAGGACTTCTCGTGCATTACGGGTGAGTGTGCCCTTATTGTTCCTCATGCATGAGAATTTGGGAGGTTACACAAGCAAGGTCTCTTCAGCCTGCCAGGCAAACCCACCGTCCTGGCCAAGGGGTTGTGCGTTCACTGTCCACCAGCCAGTACTGGGGGACAGCTTTCTGGGTGGCAGTCCCCACCTCTCCTATGGAGATGCACTGCACACGTTGGCTTGCCACTGCTTTTCTTTCTGCCAATCCGGTGCCACCAGCTCTCCTGTCATGTGCAGCAGCCTTTCCAGACTGGCTGGAGAGAGTTTGTGTCAGGAAGGTCGCACCCTGCTGACAGCAATGGTTTCTCTCTCTCCCTAGGTTTGGAAGAGACAAGCTTGAGGAAGCGCGCGTGAGTATTATGGGGTGCCGTGGAATGTTGAGATCTTTGCATGGGGGGGGCGGGCAGAGTGACCCCATTTTGTACTGCCTGCAATTCCAGTGCTATGCTGTCAACCCCAGAGGGGGAAAGGTTGGGGCTTTGCAGGTTAAGAAAGAAATGAGGAAGTGGGAAGAGAGAACCTTCTGTCTTGTAATCCTGTAATTCAGAGAATCCAAAGGAGTCAGTAGAACCAAAAGGAAGTACAAATGTTTAATTCATACATGGAGACGTGGTCCCCAGTGTGCAGTGGGAGGAAAGCAACTCTGCAAGAATCCTGGCCCCAGCCTGGTAGAACATGCTCCTGTTGTAATTCCACAGGGCCTGCAAAGTGGAGCTGTTCCACTGGGCCTTCGGTTGAGGTGGCGGATGTCAGGAAACGTCAGCTTTCCCTTGCTTCAAGTGCTTCATGGCACTGTCTGCTCCATGGCACCAGGAGCGATTGACGTGTTCCATCAGAGTGTTCATCCACTTCTCCTCCCCCCCCCCCCCCCCCGGCATTAGTGTAGCCTGCACTGGAATGAATCTAACAGTCGTGCGGCCATCAGGCATTTTAAAGTGGTTATTACATTTTAAGTCTGTATAGTGAGCTTCCGTGATCCCACGTGCAGGGTAGGGCAGGATATAAACCTCAAAATATTATTATTATTACTACTACTACTACTAGTACTACTACTACTACTACTACTACTACTCCTTGCCTTGGGATGTAGTGATAGCTACTCACTTAAGATGGTTTTCAAAAGGAGATTAGGCAAATCTGTGGTCCACCAACGACTAGTAGCTATGGTGGCTGAATGAAGCTTTCATATCAAGCACATGAAGCTGCTTTTTACCGACTCAGACCATCAGTCTGGCAGCAGCTCTCCAGGGTCTTGGGCAAAGAAGGGTCTTTCACACCTACTACTGGGTCCTTTCAACTGGAGCTGCTGCCAGGGATTGAACCTGGGACCTTCTGCATGGCATGCAGATGCTCTACCACTGAGCCACAGCCCCTCCCAAGTATAGTTTTGAATATCATGTGCTGGGGAGGGGGCATTGGCTTGCTTCTGAGCCTTGCACAGGGATCTCGTTGGCCTCAGTTGGAGTTGGTCGATTGTTCTGGCCTGATCCAGCGGGGCTTTCCTGTGTTCGCTGCCCACTTCCAGAAATCCGTAAATGAGCATCTGGGAGACAAGGAGGGTCTTCTGTCATTGAGGCTGGGCTATGGAGAAGGTGGAGAAATGCGGGGCGGGGTCTCTCTTGTTGCTCCTGCAGCACACATGACAGTATGGGTGAGGGGGCTTGAATAAGCCTGGCAAGATGGTCAGTGCCCCACTCAAAGGTAGGTGGGCCCAACTCTCTTGCCAGCTATGCGGAAAATGCACAGTGAGTACACCAGTAGCCAAGGGAGTGATGTTGGTGGTGGTGGGGAGCAGGAGGGATGTGATTTGCCAGCAGCACAGCGTGTTTCCTTAGCCACCTAGGATCCCATTCTAGCCCCTTGAGGCCTTGGATCTCGTTGGCCTCAGTTGGAGTTGGTGGATTGTTCTGGCCTGATCCAGCAGGGTTTTCCTGTGTTCACTGCCCACTTCCAGAAATCCATAAATGAGCGTCTGGGAGACAAGGAGGGTCTTCTGTTACTGAGGCTGGGCTATGGAAAAGGTGGAGAAATGCGGGGCGGGGTCTCTCTTGTTGCTTCTGCAGCACACATGACCGCGTGTTTCCTTGGCCACTTAGGATCCCATTCTAGCCCCTTGAGGCCTGAGAATGCACAGTGTGAGCAGGGCAAAGTGGGTGGCATGCTGAAGGATGGCTGCGGTGGCAGCTTTGAGGGGCGGTGTTTGGCTCGGGAGTACACTCTGTGTGGCTGCAAGCACCTCTTGGTGGATGCCCACATTGCGGTCTCATGGCAAGGAAGGTTTCCTCTTTCCGTGGTGCTCTGCAGGGGCTTCCTCCCGGATGAGAAGCAGTCGGCCGCTGACCTGGACGCGGTCCTGCAGCACCACCACAGTATCCAGGAGAAGCTGGCGGAGGAGATGCTGCACCTTGCGCGCAACCTCAAGAACAACACCCTGGTGGCTCAGAACGTGATTAAGCAAGACAACCAGGTACCTCCCTGATGCTTGCAAAGCACTCGGCCCCAGCGCACAAACGGGAAGGGAAGGCAGCAGTGCTCCCAGGGCCCCCTGGTGACAGAGCCTCCTACTGGCCCTGATCCCCTGGTAGAGTTGTGGTGCACTGATTCCACCCCACCCCCCCCAATATGCATATTTCCTTGGATCTCAATGTCGTCGTCCCCCCCCCCGCTGTTTTTCCTAGACATTGTCTCATTCGCTCAAGCTGGCTGATCAGAACTTTGAGAAGCTGAAAGACGAATCGGACCGCCTGGAGCAGCACGCCAAGAAATCGGTCAACTGGCTTCTCTGGCTCATGCTGATTGTTGTTTGCTTCATTTTCATCAGCATGATTTTGTTTATCCGGATCTTCCCAAAGCTGAGATGACTTCTTGCCTGGCAGTGCAGGCGGCTTGGTGTGCTTTACTCCTTTCCCTTGCAAAGCCCGAGCCCCTGGACATTCGGAGGAAGGCGGTTTCATTCCAGACAGGCTCAAAGGACAGAGAAGAACTTTGGTTGCGCATTCTAGTTTTGGGTGCCGCCTGCTTCCAGGGGGGCGGTGCTGGTGGGGGTCCTGCCCCCCACCCCCGAATGGGAAGGCACTGTGACAGCTGGGATGGTGGAACACTTCTCTGTACCACAGTTGTTATCTCATAGAAAAGTAGCTCCTCAGTCTAGGCTGGGGTTGTTCCCCTTGGCATTGTAGTTTTCTGTACGAAAGGAACGTCTCTGCCTGCAGCCTGAAGTGGTACAGCCTCAGCACAGGGGAGGGCATGGCATTTGCTGCTCGTACGAATAAGGCCTGTCCGGGGGACAGATCAAGGCGGGGGAAGCGTTGTATAAGAACATTTAAAGAACAGTAGGATATGTACAAAACAAATATCCTGCAGTGTATGTAATGAAATGTCCCTAAAGAATCCTAACATGAAGAAATGCTCCTGTTGTCCGTCATGGTTGAAATGCGTTTCGGCAAACTGTTATCATTGGTGACTTATTTGTGTAAGATCTCTCTCCCCCGGTGGGGCGGGGGGGGGGGGCTATTCTGGCCCTTCTGTTTTTTGGTTGGTGGCTGATCTGTGTTCCTGTGCCATCTCATTTCTTTTTGCCAGTCTCCGTTTGGGGGGGGGGGCTTCTGCTGGTTGCTCAAGGCAGCTGGCATCTGTGCTGCAGCCTGGCTGCCGAAGCAGTGGGGCAGGCTTCCCTCAGAAACTGCTCCTCTCCTCCCTCCCCCGCCACGTGTGCAGGGACGGGATTGGGAGGCCTCCTAGTAGCTGGGCCAGGCAGCGGCAGAGAGTGCTGGCTGAACGGCTGTGGACTGCAGAGTTAATGTTTGGTTAAACTGGAAATCATTTCTTCCCAATCATGAAGCAAATGTTTGCCGCTGATTGCGTTAGAGCCTCCCCCTTTCCAGTAACCTTGGAAGGCCCCGGCCTGGTGGGTGGTTAATCATCTATAGAAAGCAACACCTTCCCCCAGCTGGGCCTCACCGTCCTCCTGACCCCCAGGCACTTGGCGGGTGTAGCAGGCTGCAAGGGAAGCGGTCCCCTCCAGGGGTCACTGCTTTGCCCTTCCTCCTTCGTGGGGCAGCCGAAAGCAGCAGGGCTGCAGCTCTCCAGCTCCGACACCTGGCAAATAAACCCTTGATCTCTGACCAAGTGCCTGAGCCTGCTTGTTTGGGACTGATCAGCTGACTGTAGAAGAGGGCAGAATGGAATTATGACAGCCTGTGGGCTGCTGCCTGCAATGTGACTGCACTGCACTGCCTGACTTGCTGTGGCAGTGTGATCTCCTTCCACCTCAGCTGTTTGGAGGGGGGAATTCGGGAGCCCATGGGGGGGAGGTGTCACGTTGCACCATCCCTGGCCCCGATAGGGAAGTTCAAGAGTGTTGTTCAGCTCTCAGGTGCAAGAGAAGAAAACAGACTTTTGAGTGGAGCGGCTTTGGGTGGGAAGGTGGCCTGGACCCTCCCCTGCCGCTGAAGAGATCTGACGGCCGGGCCCCTGCCCATCTTGCCCGCAGCTGCTGCACAGCAGCCAGAGGGCTGCCTATCTGATCTTTCTACCCACCTAGCCATAGGGGAGAGAGCAGAGCACTCCCAGTTTAGTGGGGTGCCTCTAATGTTCTCCAGGCCACCCAGTCACTTCATGACAGAGTGGGCATCTGGCTCTCAGGGCAGCTTCTCCCTGTTCCCAGGCCGCACTAGCCTTTGAGAGGCTGCTTCACGAAAGTCAGCCCTAAAACATTGCAGCATCGCGATCGATAGGCCCGGCAATAGTAGGTCACGCACCCTCTGCCCTATTCTGTTTGTTTTGGTTCCCTGGCCCTTCGCCACCCCCAATAAGCACAAGGAGTGTTGATGTGGATCTGATACTTCCTAAGTCAACTGTAAGGCGCTACCAGGAAGTCTTTCTTACGTATAAAATGGGTCAGCATCCGCTGTAACTTTCCCATGTGTCATCCAACCCGGAAGGAAGCTTAAAGGTGGCTTATGAGGCAGAATGGGCTGCATTCCCAGAATCAGAACTTGCCTGACGCCCTGTGGGGTAGAGAAGGGTCACGTTCCCAAGGTTCTTATATTGGGCTGGTGACAAACAAGGATATCCTGAGGGAGGGTGTGACGTCCTCCTTATTGGGGAGGACTGGGTTCTCTTTAAAAGTGTTCTTTTTATTTTGTTCTACTGGGTATAGATGGCTGCCACCAGGAAATTTTAGGGATTTCCAAACCTTTATACTTTTACTTCTGCTCTTACTGGTTAGGTAGACCGAATTCAAGGCTTACGAGGAACTATGTGGTCCCGAGGAAGTATTTTTTTCAGATCTGGTATACTTGAATAAAAGAGGATTTATTGAAATAATTCATAAATAAAAGGGTAGAACAATGTAACTATTAATGTGTAAATAATGAACAATTGCTTGGTGTAT